AAAAAAAGAGGAATCTTAACGACACATCCCAGGCTCGTACTTCCATTTTCCATGCCCATTCTGCTGGAAGATCCACTTCCAGCTTATTTTTCTCCCCTCACTTTGGCTCTAGTGGATTCCCTGCCCCTCCCCCCCTCTGTCACTTATTTTGGTTACCACGGTTCTTCTCCTCGACCGCGGCTGCATTGACATGTGACCTACATATGGCACCTTGCCGACCAATGTGTAGACTTCCTTGGTGTGCAGGACTGCTTGCAAAAACATATACACGGCCATGCAAGGGGTACTTTGAATCAAAAATTTGAAACTGCATTGTTCTTCCGTGAGCACCTCCACCCTGGGGCAAGGAGGCCAATGCATAATGCATGCATGCATGCATGCTCCCCCTCTTCTTCTGGGCTGGGAACCGAAGGAACAAAACCTATACAACAATATCACCTGAGCTGTCGAGTGGAAATAACTAGGAGCTGAGAAAATAAAATCACAGGTCAATGACATATAGCCACAGGATGTCGCGGGTGCTCCTCACGTTTGCCATAGAACTGGGAAGGTGATTTGCGACAGCCTCCTGAATTGCGAAAAATGCACGGAATCAACACGGCAAAGATGAGGAAAATGAATAAATCGCCTCCACCTGGGTGGGCTTGGATGCCGCGGACAATACCACCGCAAAAAAAAAGGAGGAAATGGTAACAAGTGTAAACAAATGTAAACAAGAGAACACCTGAACAACTACTGCAAAACAGCAGCACTCGCACACAGAGCGGTGGCGGGCTCGGAAGGCTCCGAACTGCTCCCAATTTCTTCCGTCCCCATCCCCTACCTGCCTCCCTCCACCCACCCATATCTCCAATATGGTGCCTCTACCCTCGTGCCCCTCCTCATGCAGTGTCATCTCCGCTTTATCTGAGTTTGCTTGCATCTCCCTGAGCCTGGTTCGCACGAGCGTTCGCATCTCCCTGAGCCTGTTTGGTACCCGCGCGTTCGCATCTCCCCGAGGCTGTTTCGCACCTGCGTTTGCATCTCCATTTACCACCCCTATGTTCAATGTGGAGGACTCGGGGGGCGTCCCGAAGTCCCGAATGCACGTGTGTAGCCTACGTCATCACATGAAATGATGATGACAATAAAAAACTTATCTTTTGAATGATGAATGAAGTAAACTGAGGAGGAAGAAAGGGGCAGGTAAGCCTTTAGAGAGAGGCTCAACAAGAAAAGCTTCACACAGGGGAATGAATGAATGGTGGTGGGCATACTTAACAATTGAGCTTGATCGATACCTCAACTTGCAAATGTACAACATGTCACAAATACGATATAATAACAACAATCCTATTACTAATTAATCTAATCTCAGATTACCTGGACAGTATATGGTGATATACACCATCAGATTTTCCCAATCACACGCTCCAAGGAAACCCGGGGAGAGTCTCAACCGAATCCCCCATGGTGCCGCATCTGGATGGCCGTTGGTACCCCGTAGCAAACAGGTGCTGCACCGATAAGGTGACG